GGATGAGCTCTTACAAGAGATACCCGTACCCGGAGGAGGGAACCTGATTATAGGTGGAGATTTTAATGGCCATGTAGGCATAGATAAATTAGGCTATGAAAGGGTGCATGGTGGATACAGTTTTGGTGACAGAAATGAGGCTGAAAAGAATATCTTAGATTTTGCGTTGGCTTCTGACCTAATGGTGGCCAATACTATGTATAAGAAGAGGGAAGAACATTTGATAACTTTTAGGAGTGGGTCAGTTAAGAACCAAATAGATTACTTCTTCGTGAGAAAAGTAGCCTGCCTAAAATGCAATGATTGTAAGGTGATTTCTGGAGAGTGCCTAACCTCTCAACATATGATTTTGGTACTAGATTTATGTTTTAGAGGGCAATACCAAGCTAGGAAGGATGGTGGGTGTCGTACGACGAGATGGTGGAACCTAAAAGGGGATAAATTATAAATATTTAAAAATAGAATAGCTAAAGCAGGAACTTGGGACTTGAAAGATGATGCTAACACTATGTGAAACTCAATGGCTAATTGTATGAGGAGAATCTCAAAGGAAGTGGTCGGAGAGTCAAAAGGAACGGAACCCAGTTCTAGGGAAACTTGGTGGTGGAGGGAAGAGGTTCAAGCGGTAGTTAAGGCCAAAAAAGAGTGCTTTAAAAAGTGGCAAAATGATAGAACTGAGGAAAATCGTAAGAGTTATAGATTGGCTAATAAGTAGGTCAAGAAAGTAGTGAGAGAGACTAAGTTGAAAGCTTATGATGACCTATACACTAGACTAGCTAGTAAAGAGGAAGAGAAGAAGGTATACAAACTTACTAAGATACGGGAAAAGAAAACAAGAGATTTTAATCAGGTTAAGTGCATCAAGAGTGAGGATTCTCAGGTATTGGTGAGGGATGAAGAGATTAAGGAAAGATGGAAGAACTATTTTGAAAAACTATTAAATGAGGAACATGGAGGTATGGCAATAGGAGAAGAAATAACCAGTAATACGATAAACCAAGACTATAGGTTCTATCGCAGGATTAAGAACTTTGAAGTGGACATTGCACTTAAAAAAATGAAATCAAATAAGGCTTTAGGACCAGATGATTTCCTTATTAAAGCTTGGAAATGTTTGGCTAAAAAAAAGGTTGCTTGGTTGACTAGGCTGTTTAGCAAAATTTTGTTGAATAGGAACATGCCAAATGAATGGAGGAAGAATATTTTAGTGCCAATCTATAAGAATAAATGAGATGTCTAGAATTGCAACAACTATAGAGAAATTAAGCTAATGTGTCATATAATGAAAGTGTGGGAGAGGGTCATAGAACGCCGATTGCGAGATATAACAAAAGTATTAGAGAATCAATTTGGATTTATGCCTGGTAGGCCAACAATGGAAGCGATCTATCTTTTGAGGATAGTAATAGAAAAGTATAGAGAAAAGAAAAACGGCATTCATATGGTGTTTATTGACCTTGAGAAAGAATATGATAGAGTACCCCAGGATATAATATGGTGGATGTTAGCGAAGAAAGAGGTGACAAAAGGTTACATTGATGTGATTAGGGATATGTATGAAGGGGTAAAGACCACTATTAGATCACTTGCTGAAGAGACAAATGAATTTCCTATCACTGTAGGGTTACATCAAGGATCTACCTTAAGTCCTTATTTTTTTGCTTTAGTTATGGATGAGTTGACGAGAAATATCCAGGATGACGTGCCATGGTATATGCTTTTTGCAGTCGATATAGTTTTAGTGGATGAAACAAGAGAAAGAGTTAATACAAAGTTGGAGATTTGGAGAAAAGTTTTTGAATCTAAAAGATTTCGGATAAGTAAAACTAAACCAGAGTACATGAAGTGTAAATTTAGTAACAGTAACAATGAAACTAGAGGAGAAGTAAAGATTGGGAACCAAGAACTGCATAAGAGTGAACATTTTCGTTATTTAGGGTCAATTATCACAACAGCGGGGGAGATTGATGTGGATATGGCCCATAGGATTAAGGCGGAATGGTGTAAGCGAAAAAATGCGTCTAGGGTACTGTGCGATAAACGAATACCCACTAGACGTAAAGGTAAGTTCTATAAAACGGCTATTAGACCAGCGATGTTGTATGGGACGGAGTGTTGGGCAACCAAGAAACAACATGTAGATAAGATGAGTATAGCTGAAATGAGAATGTAAAGTGGATGTGTGGCAAGACTAGACAAGACAGAATTAGGAATGAGTGTATTCGGGAATGGATAGGAGTAGCACCGATAGAAGATAAGTTGAGAGAAAATCAATTGAGATGGTTTGGTCATATTCAAAGGAGACCAACAGTGGCAGCAGTGAAGAGATGCGATACTGTTACGGTAGATAGAAATGTTAGGGGACCGAGTAAGCCTAGATTAACGTTGGTTAGCGTTGTAAATAGAGATATGGATCTACTTAATTTGACTAACGAAATGGCCTTTGATAGAGCCACGTGGAAAAGAAGGATTCATGTAGCCGACCCCATTTGATGGGATTTAAGGCTTGGTTTGGTTTGATTATCTTCTTTTTTTTCATTGAAGCGAACTCAACAAGCAGTGCACTGTATTAACCTAGAAGTACCCAAAGAGGATTACCTTATTTTGATAGAGGATCATTTGTTTATATTTTCAATGTTAACTTTGTCTTGGGTATCTTTTTTCATTTTCTTCTACCTCTCATATTGCATTATTAAAAAGATTTAAAAATTTTGAAATATAGATAACTTTCTTTCCCACAACAAACTAAATTGCTGGAATCCAGGTTGCATTTCGATTATTAACCTGATCTAGCAGATTTCATTGAAACAAGGAGAATCAAATTACCTGGCCCTCTAGCCCAACCCAACCATGAAAACATTTTAAGTACGGATTAGATTGAACAAAATTACCTATTTCAACAGAAATTTGGAAAGGGTTGGAGAAAATGCCATCATACGACTAAATATTATTCCACAATGCAGCAGTCACAATCAAAAATTCACCATTGACCACTAAAATCTTCCTCAAACACTTGCTCCTGCAAAGGTACGAGGACCTTGGAAATACCAATGCTGGAGGCAAGATAATAAACTCTGCTGTTGAATAGAAACAGTTTGACTTGTTATGCTCACATTGTTTGGGTTGCAAATCACTTTAAAGGGGAATAACAGCCAAGGTAGTAGGAATATTGGCCTGGGGAGCTCTCATATAGTACATATGGAAAGAGTAGAATAACAAGAAATTCAAAAGACAAAAAAGGGTGGTAGGAGTCTTAAGGGAAAATAATTGGGATCTTTGAGTGCATCATGCATGCAAGCTTCAAAAAGCTTACAAGTGATGGTGATAACAGAGCTCGAGCAATTTTAGAGTGCAGGGACATGGTTAGATTGGGGGATGTATTCAAACACTTGGATTGAAAGGATTTAGCCTCTGTCTCGTTAAGTTTTAAGAACTTGTTTTTAATTTTAATTTTAATTTTTTTTTTTGAAAACTTCGAAACTAGTTTTAGAAATTTTTTCAGAAAACTGATTCTGAAAACTCAACAAAACAGAGCTTTAATTTGTTTAGATTGTAGGATAGATTTACTCCAAATAGAGTCTCACAGAGTTTTCGCTTCTTTTGTGCAATGTCAATAAGGGCTTTCCTTTAACAATTGCACATATTGCTGATTTCTTTTAAAGGCTACCCAACATGATACCACTACCCCTCCAAAATGTTCATACCACTCCAAAGACTACGTTGCTCATCACTGAAAATGTTACCAACCAATCACACCTCCTGATCTACTCAATTCTTGCTCTCTCTATCATGCCCATCCCTTCACTTCACATCCAGTAAATAGCATGAAATCCTGAATTCTTTGCTCAAGGTAATTTCTTCACCACTTCTATCCCTGCTAGCCAAAGAGCATGAATTGTATAAAAAATAAGAAAAGGAGGAAAGATTAGCCAAGAGCTTTCAGTAAGGATGACTTTTCCTGATGGAAAGAGGTAGGTCATCTTTCATCTATGCTATCCCCCTTACATGCCTACCCTATACTTGGGTTCCAAACAAGATAAGGTCTTCTAGGTTACTCCCAATTAGGGTTCAATTAAAATAGCTGGAAAGGTCTTTCACTCTCCAAAAAGCTGATCTTCAATCAGACGCATCTTTCAAGCACCTTAGCCATCCTAATGCTTCATTTCATAGAAGAAATGCAAAATAAAAGGAGGGAAATATGGAGGGCTAGAAAAGGCAAGGGAGGGATAGGATATTGTCTTCCCTTACCATTTGTTTGATTGAGAGAGAAAGAAAATAAAAGAAATCATGTTAATTTATTTTACCATTATAACCTTACACATCAACCAGATGTGTTATTTCATGGCAAAAATGTATAAGTGAAAATTTCCCTCCCCCTTTCTTTTTGATCAACAAATCCAACCTCCACTTTCCTTCTTCCTTTTCATCCATTTTTCGGGGCATTAATCATGGTAGGCTTAAAGCAATTTACCACTCCTCCACTTCTCCTTGTGTTTCACCTTTCCTTCCAACCAAACAAAGAAAACCATCTCCCCTCTCATTTTCTTCCACACTCTGCTTTCTACCAGCCTTCCCTACCGGCCAAACAGACTATACGAACCCTCTAATGGCATTAAGAGGATTCACAAGAGAAAGCACGTCGAAGCTTATGGAACTGCTTATGGCTATTTTGGGAGTCTACGCCAGTTGCTTCTTCTGAGGTGAAAATGTCCTAAATAAGGTGAAAAACATATACACATTACTGGGAAACTGAAAAAAACTATGCCTTGATAATAATTTCAATTACCCATAGAGCACACTCGTACACCCAAATTAGGCAGCATTGTTATATAACACGGCACCAAAATTGAGTTATGTATTATCTTTGCAATTATATTTTTAACAATAATTTCAGCAGGGGAAAAATCCCTTCATCTTTCAATCCCATGCGACAATAAACTTATGCATATACATCTATACACAGAAACCATAAATATCCACATATCTATATGTACTAAGCAATTGAAATCAACTAACCATCAATTTCGTTGAATTCTTAAGTTTCCAATACAAAGCTCTCAATTGCATAGTATTGTTTTGTATATGAAAAAGTGGAAGAAAAAAAATGATGGGATGAGTAAGAAACCTGTAAACCAACAAAGTGTTAATCATCGCCTTTCTTGGGCTTCCGGTACTTCTCTTCGATGTGTTTAGCCATGAAAATGGCAGTGTTAGCAAGCTTGCGAATGTTGGGTACATTGTAGTTCTGAGCTATGTATATTCCGCACACTGTTCCAACCATGAATGAGAAATTGCTCTTTATTATCCCCATCTCATCACTCTCTGCTTCGATCGTCTTCGTCTAGGGCTCCAATCTCTGCTCAAGAATCGTTAGGGTTTCCACTGCTCGCTCTCTCTCTCTCTCTGCCTTTGGGGATTCCTTGGAGTTGAAAAAGGTTTTGGTCCTGGAAGGGTCTGGAACACTGGTTTAATTGAAGACGGAATTTGGGCAGCTAACCAGCCTCTCGAGTCGAGTTGAGTGGAGCCGATTAGTAGCTTTTAAACGGTTTGTTTCGTCGGATATTTTATGTACTTTATTCGTGTGAAAAATTATATTTTAAGAAATTGTTTGAGATATTTTAAATAAGTGTATTTTTTTATTTTTTATAAAATATGAGTTAAGTTTAAAATGATGTGATAGAGAGGTGATATGACTTAAATAAGATGATGTAACTTAAATAGGATAATAATTTTTTTGACTTTTTTAGAAAAGGTCAAACCTAGCCTTACTAAGGATAAATTATAAATACATTTTTTAAGGTTTGATTAAAATACGAATTGTTCTCTGTAGTTTTAAAAATTACATTTTACCTTCTGAGATTTCTAATTTCATAATAAATGGTATTTTTTATTAATAAATCATTACATCAATTAACAGTTTTTAATGATATTAAAAATATATTTTAATTAATAATTTAAATAAGTTTATTATTATATAAGAAAACTATTATGAATTTTATTTTTTTAATTAATTCTATTAAATAACAAAAGGATATTTGTAATTTTTCAAATTATATAGGACAATCTGTACTTTAAGCAAACCTCATAAGATGTATTTGTAATTTACCCATTTAATAATTATGATTTATTTAATTTATTACATTTTTAATCATAAAATTTTGTTTTTTTCAAAATAAATCATAAATGTTTTTAGTTAAAAACATGATAAATTAAGTGAATTATAATTATCAGATCGAGATATTTTTATAACGCCATTGTATTTGAACCAAAAAATTACCTTAGTACGTCCAATTCAAATTTTAAAATTTTAATTCATATTATACTCTAATATAAATTTACTAATAAGAACAACACGTATTAAACTTTAAAATAAAATATTATTTTTTTCATAATACATCATAATCAATTAGACGTATTCTTTCTATTCAAATCTCTTCATCTTCTTCCTTTTCTTTTCTTCTTCTTTTTCATTTCAAAATTTTAATCCATCCCACCAAAACTCACAATTATCATCTACATCATTATTTTTTTATTATAAAAATTGAACAAAATCAAATAATATATGAGAGTAATAATCAAAAACAGTTTTTTAAAGCAACCCATCAAAAACGATGTTAATATTCTCATAAATATCAAAATACTATTACTGATTTAAGTGTTTTTTTTTATATGTAAAAGAGAATATTCAACTATTTTTTTGTCATTATTGTTCGCACTTTTAGAACCGAACAAGTTCACTTTATTCGATTCTGGAAGTCTGAACACAAAGCTTCGTTTGGTTTTAGATTTTTTGCTAAAAAACACAAAAAGACAAATTAGTTACATAAGCCAATAAGACAAAATGTCATATCCAAACCATAATCATTATACTTTTTCTCTCACAAAAGTCAAAAAAAATCAAAAAAATCAAACCAAATGAGACTAAAAAAATCAGGCTAAAAAAGTCTCAATACAAAAGGTCAACTAAAAAAGCTAATGCCAAACAAAGATGAAGTTTCACCCTCTCATTCTCATTCGTTGTCCTCCTTTGCCAGTACCACATTTGTTCATGTCGGGTTCTCTGGTCATGTTTCCTGTATGTACGTAAACAAAAGAAAGATTTTTCAAAAAGTTTTTCAAAACTAATTTGAATTTTTCAATTTATTTTATTGGGGTGTACCTTAAAATGATAATTTATGAGAAAAAATAGGATGTACTAAGAATAAATTGTAATTCTAAATAATTTAATAGGCTGTGTTGAAAATTGAACTCACTTAAATTTTTTTGGGTGTAAATATAATTTTTAAATTTTTTTTTTTTTTTGTGGATAATATACACAAAGTGTCAGACACAGTAAGGTGTCGTTTGGTAACACTTACGTTTTCAGTTTTCTGTTTATATTTACAAAAATTTTAAAAATTCAAATAAAAACTTGTTTGGTAAAATTTTTGATTTATAAATCAGTGGTCTCAGTTTATAAATTTGGCCAAAAAATGAAAACACAAAAAATGTGTTTCCATTTTGAGTTTTCAGTTTTCAATTTTTTTTTTTTACCACCCAACACTAGCCACTACCAGCCACCATTTTCCACCACCGTCTTCCGCCACCACCACTCACCACCCACCAGGCACCACCCACCTGCCACCCACTCGCCACCACCACCCACCCCTCATCGCCACCACCACCCACCACCCACCTGCCATCCACCCGCCATCACCCACCACTACCATCCACCGCCCACCACCACCACCCGCCACCTACTTGCCACCACCACTCACCACCACCATCCACCCCCTGCCACCACCAGCCACCCACCACCCACCCGCCATCTGCCACCCACCGGCCACCACCACCCACCCGGCACCAGCTACCCACCACCCACCATCACCACTTTCCACCACCGTCTTCCGCCGCCACTTGCCATTTCTTACTCTTTTTTGTATTTTTAAAATTTTTTAAACATTTTGTCAATTACCAAACGCGTTTGTAGTTTATGTTTTTCTAAAAATAAACAAAAACCAGTTTATAAAATTTTTGTAAATATAAAAAGAAAACTGAAAACGTAAGTGTTACCAAACGGCACCTTAATATTTAGTGCCACCACCCACCGTCACCACTTTCCACCACCGTCTTCTGCCGCCACTTGCCACCACTCGTCATTTCTCACTCTTTTTTATATTTTAAAATTTTTTTAAACATTTTGTCAATTACCAAACGCGTTTGTAGTTTATGTTTTTCTAAAAATAAACAAAAAATAAACAAAAACAGTTTATAAAATTTTTGTAAATATAAACTGAAAACGTAAACGTTACGAAACACACCCTAAACGATTTAGATTATTGAAATGAAACTCGTTGTGAGTTTTACGACCCAAACAGGCCTCTCCAATCCAAAATCTGGATGAGAGGCATCCTTTTCTATCTTTTTTTTGTAAAAACTTTATTTACCCTAACAAAATTATAGTAGGGGGATTTGGTTAAAGCCCCTTATAATAAAATTTTAATACATTAAGCACAAATACAAAAGAATTTCCTTAAAATACTATTACAAAAATATTAAACTTTAAAATAATATAAATTTTGATCTAGATGTTCATTTTTAATAAAATTAATATTTTTATAACACTCTTGTCAAGATCTATCAAATAAGATCTATGTTAACTATGAAATTATTTTTTTTTAAAAAATAATTTAGCTTGTTTGGTTATAGTTTTCAGAAAATAATTTTCAGAAAATTCTACTATTTTATTTTTCATATTTTAATGTTTTCAATGGATTTTTTAAATATTTTAAGCAATTTTTTTATTTTTAGACACACCTAACATAAATACAATTAAAGAGTATAATATTTGTGAAAAAATCTTTAAAAATACACGAAAAACCAAAAAATGAAAAAAAAAAATGAAAATTTAGTACATTTTTTTGTATTTTTGTGCATTTATTGATTTTTTACAAATATTTTACTATTTAGATACATCTAAGTAAGGTGCATAAAAAAAAGTAAAAAAATTGCTTAAAATTTTAAAAATATTCACTAAAAACAAAAAACTCAATTTTCAAAAAACTGAATTCAGGAAACTAAAACCAAACATACTGATTACTATCAAAATTGATATAAAAAGTAACATGTTACTCTCTTTAACAGTAACATATTACTCTATCTCATAGTAACATATTCTGATAATATTATTTAAGAAGAAAAAAAGATATTTTACTTTACCCTTAATTAATTATGAGCATCCTCCTTAATAAATTTATGAAACAAAATAAATTAGACTCTAATTTTCACTAAGGCCTCGTTTGGGAACAGGCTATTTTAGTAACTTTTTAGCTTTTTGGCTAAAATATGAGATTAAAAAAATTAGTATATTTGAAATGACTTTTTAATTTTTTACGAAAAGATATGCAAAAAGTAGAGAGATAATGGAATCTTTGACTTTTTAGTATAAGTTGTTAGCTTTTTGATTTTTTTTAAGTAACTTTTTAACTTTTAGGCTAAAACAACCACTTGCCAAACGTGGCCTAAATAAAAATAGGGCAACGCACCAATAAATCCCAAATTAATGACTTATGCACTATTTAGTCCTGCATCTTTTCTTTTGAACCAAAAAGTCCTGAGATAAGTGGAATGTCACATTTGGCCTTCAGTTTCCACGTGTTTTTTTTTATTTGGAGGGCAATGTTAGTTTTGTGTATTGGTGAAATTACATTTGTGTCCATCAAGCGCACTATAGGATTTTTAGGTTTCCCTCCTCTTTGATTGAATCTTTTAGATTGTACAAGGAAACATTGGTGATGATCATTTCAACATTGATACATTGATATGCGCTCTTATTGAACCCTTAAATGTGGGTTTTGATAATATGAATAAAAACCCACAAAAATTTCACATTGTTGATTCGGAAGGAACACTAAATCGGAAGGAAAACAACACTGTGTCCACCAAGAATTGGCATCGTAGACTGAGACGGAGCAAGACGTCGGTTCGTCTGGTCCGTTAACATCAATAACATCGTCGTCACATAACCTCGTCGTCGTATAACATCAATAACATCATCGGCCATCGTTAGAGTTATAACCGATGACAATGAAAAAAATAGGTTCGTAACTTATGTCGTAAAATTGGTGACTTATTTTGAGATGTTATATGGGGTATTTCAATTTGTGTAGTTGGGTTTGTTATTTGTTAGTGTATTAACACATTTCACCCCCGACGTACTTTGGGGGAATGGTCATATGTCTAACATGCCGTGTGTGTAATGCGATGTGTTTTGAAATTTTAGTGTGTGTTGTGATATTAACGAATGTTGATGTGAATTGCCGTTGAAGTGGTGGTGTTGGTTGGTCGTTATTGGATCAGGGTGTAATGAATTTGATACTTTGATAGGGTGTAATGGGTATGAATAACATCAAGACATCGATGTTTGTGGGCATTTTGTTGGTATGCAATTACGTAGTGCAAGTATTGGGACATTGTTGTTGTCAGTTGTATATGACTTTGTTTTTGTTTTTTGCCATTGTGTTAATGTGTTCGAATTG